GAAATTTGATTTGAATTTATTTTGATATTAAAAAAATATTTTGTTATTAAATACTCATAATTGCTTATAACTACAAACATTTCTTTTCCGAAGCGAACAACATTTATTTTCCGAAGCGAACAACATTTATTTTCCGAAGCGCGCGAACAGTCAGATTGTAGCGATAAATGCCATCTTATCAAAAGGCGTCAATTACATGCAGTTTATTTGAAACAAATTGATAAGCATAAATTCGAGCTACATTTAACCGTTGTATTCAATTGAAATGATTGACACCGATTGACCAGAGGGCGTTAGCTGTATTCTTTGTTTTTCACTACCACATTCAAACGATTCGCGAGCCTCGTTATTTTCAATTTCTTTCTAAAATTATTTTCAAATCATTACATTTTTCGATTTATTAGTTAACATTTTCCTAATATATGCCTGGAGGAAGTCTAATAGGTAGGAATTTATGTGTGTAGAGGAATCTATACCATTCATACGAGTTGGATCGTTTCATTTCGATCAAGCTAAAATTTGTAGTTCCATTTTTGGTGGCCCATTTCGTTGCCAAATAAACCGCGTCTGGTACATAAATCGTAACTTTTCGAGCTCCGGCCAATTTTTCTCGTTCTGCATTCAACATATCCAATTGAAGTATCTCTGACGATTTGAACTTGAATAACTTCAATTTTTTTAAATTTCTCAATTTTTTAATGAATAGCAGAATATCGAACGTTTCTCTAAATACGTAAAGACGTTCGACATTCATGAGATTCTCTACAAGGGTTTCATTTTTGGATCTACCAGAAAGCATTATTTCATTCCAAAGAAAAGGACGAATTGACCCTGTTTCAATATATTCGATCAAATGGGTCGAAAAAGGTTCAAGGCTTTCCGTACTACTATTAGTGGAAAATAATTTCAAGAACGGTATTGAAGACAGATCAGCATCAAGCCCATACATATGTAAACGCTTATAGAAACCATGAGTGTGAAGTTGATATAAAAAATCCCAAAAAGTTTTTTCGTTCACCAAATAAATGTGATATCCGTATTTCAATTCAAATGTATCCAGTTTAGCTTTAGAATTGAGTAATGCATCTTTATTGAACCAAAATGTATTTGAATCGCATGAAAAACTGCGTATATTGGGATTACGTTCGAAAAATTCATAAAGTTCATCTATTTTTTCTGCGTAATTGCACAATTCTAAATGTTCAAGCTTTTCGTATCGGTTCCGTAGCCATTTATATTTATTTTTGTTATTTACTTCAATTATACGAATACATCGCACATTCCTACAATACTTTAGAAGAATATCATAGAGATCTTGAGTAATTTTACATGTTGATAGTTCCAACACTTCGATATTTGGCAAAATTTTCAAAATGTATCCAACTATTTGCTTATTGATGCGTACATTTGTAAGAGACATTATTTTCACTGAGTTAAATTCATCGGAATGTAATTTAATGAACTTAAATTTGTCCAGTTCACAGTGGTAAAAGACTGTAAAAGAATGAGTGCTGAATGGTTTCTTCTTCGTTTTAGCATGTTTCTATGGCAATCCAAGTGATAAATTGAATAAAAAATGGTATTGGAATACACTTTTCAATGCTAACTTATAGTGTTCATCATCATTGTCTATCATATAAATACCATCACTTAAACAATTAAATTTAGCGCCTGAATAATTGCGTGCGAAAAATTCGCCCGTCATTTGTTGCATTGATTTACATGTTTGGGCCAATGAATGTAAATCCCTTAACGAGAGATAATCGAATAGTTCGTCGAAACAATGGCGATTCAATGTGAAAATTGAAGATGATAAAAAATGTTGATTTTCATTCGATGAGCACACAACTGTCATTCTATTCGAATTTTCGCCATTTCTTTGAGTTTGCTCTTTTCGATTTTCATTCACAGTACTGGCGTTGCTCCTTTTTCTGTTTGCCAATTTGATTAGATTGTTCCCCATCAGTGCTTTAGCTATTTGCTTTAGATTTGTTCTATTTATTTGAGGAACGCTGTGAAATAATCAACAAAATAAAATTAACACATTATGACTTCAAGAAATTACGGCAAACGTGAACACTCTCTTTCTCTTCCTCTTCATCATTGTCGCCAATTACAAATACCTTAAAATGTTAATTTGTGTGAATGATATCCAGTAAACTACATTCAGTTCTTAATCAAACCTATTTTAGTTCAAAAATCACGTATTTATTTTTATTCTTTCTTTTCCAAAGAAATAGTTCTCAATTGTTCGAAATAATATTTCTTACAAAGTTCATAGCAATATCTTTTCTCAAGCAAGTTTCAAAGACAACTGAATTTTGTAAGCACAATTCCAATGCATTTCTGATCGTTAACAGCAGCTAGGATAGTCAAAAATGGACAAATAACATCCTTTGTTGTGACAGAATTGACAATTTCATTTTGATGCACTTTGCAAAATTGGTTTCAAAATGTTCTATGAGTGTCTAAAGACCTTGTTTTTAAGTTCATCGTTATGCGTTTTCCAAGAATCAGCTATATAGATAATCCCGATAATCGAGGATTTAAATATTTTCAGGTTGAAAATAAATATCATTCTAACGACGTGTTGTGAGCATGAATATAAATGGACATAAATTGCCAAAAATTCAAAGGTCGGCAGACGTATCGGTATGTAGCTATAGAACAATCCTCAATAGGCATTCAAATGATCGAAAATATGCATTTTAACTGAAGTCAAATTCCTTACACCAAAGATTATTTGGTTTCTTTTCTCTAATTTCTGTTGTACTTTCAAATGCCAGGTATACTGTATTCCTTCTGAAATATATTCTTCCTTAATTCCTTTTTTTTGACAATTGTCGAGACGAAAAAGACATTAGACGATTTGTGTAACAGATAATTTAAAATAAAGCGTTGACCGGTTTGGTGTTTATCAATCAAATATAATAAACATGAGCGAGCTACGTATTAATTCGTTAGACGTCAGACAAATGAGAAAGTTACTGTTGATCGGGAAAATGAACACACAATTATTGACTCCGCATGTTTTCATTCTTTTTAAACCAATTTTTGACCAATAAATCTTCTGATATGTTGGACTGTTCATTGATAAATTCCAATACATCCGTGAAAATATGACAATAAATCAATGATCACGCTAAATTCAAATAGTATACTAGAATTATCCACGTTATCTGCCCTATCACGTGTATCATTTGTACGTTCATTGTTTAACAGTAACTTATCAATAAGATGCAAACGATTGGGTTCATTAAATTTAAATCCATATCATTTTAAAGAAATTGATTTCGCACAAAAACGTGTCGCAAAAGATAGAAATAATACAAATATTTTCAGTGGCTAATACAGATAAGTTAACAAATATTTGCGTCATTTGTGTTTATTTTGTGTACACACGTGGAATAATTCAAACAGTCTGGTTTTTGGATTAAAAGATTTTATTGTATTTTATTCTTCATTTCAAATCATTCCAAATTCTTGTATTACGACACGAATGAATTAGTACTCAGGTTCGGGTTCGGGTTCCGGTTCAACGGTGTTTTCACATTCGTACATCAAATTAAGCTTCCATATATCTTTCTTGCTCAACCCTTCGCGTTGTCCAATTTTACCTAGATCGCCATCCTTTTATGAAATAGAAAAAAGCATTAAAATCTGAAATAACTCCCCAAATAGTTCAAATGATGAATTTTAATGTTGTATAAATGATGGACTTATGCGGAGATGGACGAAATTAGAGTAGAATAAGAATACGTATAGTAATCACACAACTGAAGTTTTAAAAAGTTTACACTTGTATTGTGCATAGTTCTCGTCTACATATACCCAACTCCGTCCATTTACTCATGAGTATGCGCTATTTAAGTTCGGTTCAAAACAAGTGTTACTCACAGTAGGAACAATTGTTGCATTTCCATTTTTGGAAAATCCAAAGGCACCGTAATGCATCACGCTTTCATAGTCATAGGTTGTGTTGAAGTGTGTCACCACACTGCTGTTGTATTTGTTGAAGTTATGCTCCATGCCAGGTGTGATATTATCCCATTTAATTTCCACGTAATCATCTCTGTCATACGCGCTCTGCATATGATAAAAACCAAGAGCTGCAACGAAAACTTGTTGTTAACTTTCTATATGAATTTAAAAAATCATTCCATTTACCATGCAAGAATTCGTGCATGATTGTTCCCAGGCGGAAGCAACCAGAGCCCGGTTCGTATTTCTGTAAGTTCAAATTTTGTGACTTGTTCTGGAATCCGATCGAAGAATAGCATCCATCTGCTTCACCCTAAATAAACGAATATTCATTTTGATGAATTTAAATTGACAAAAAAATGGATTTTTAATTGAGTATATGGTGTAGAACACAGGACGAACCCCTTCTACAATTTATCACAGAATTTTTTTTTCAAATCATTGATGATAATAATTATGGATAATGAAATACTCACGGTTAAATTAACAAATTGCGTTTCATTGGTTCGTCTAACGAATTTCAAGCATGAAACGGATTCCAATGTTTTCAGTCCCACTTCAATGTAATCTTGTTGCTCTTTTGTGTGATTGGCGCTCAATTGATATGGAACGGTTTTATTCGGCCAGCGATATTTCTCGTTAATTAATCCGTTTCGTTCAGGCGAAGAAAGAGCGTCCAATTGGTCTTTATTCAGTAGCATATCACCCTCATAATGATTTCCGTATTCAGCGGCTGAAAAAAAGTTTGTTTGTGAAAAATATAATAATTTTCATGACTACAGTGAACGTCGTCAATTTGACATACTTTCTTCAGATTTTTCGCGACCAGAAATGCTGTCCAATGGTAAAGACAATGCCAATGTGAATAACACGGCGATTGAAATTGCTATCAAAATCTTGTTCATTGTGCTGAACTATCCAATGTGAATGTTAGACTAAAAATGAGTTGAACAATTGGTATCGTGCACTTTTATATGAGCTCCTTGACCAATACAAACAAGAGTATTTAAAAACTGCCCCGATAGACATACTGCCCACTGATAACATTCAGTTTGCGTTTGGATAAATCCAAACTGCTAAATTGCGTATTTATTTATTACAAATTGCACAAAGTTCAATGAGTCGAGAAATGATCTCTTTATCTTCATGTTTACATATAGAAATGTTTCACTTTCGGCGGAGTCAGACAAATGGTATCATATGGATTTTGAATCAGTTGCAGTAGTTTCACGCAATAATGGGAATGGTACACGTTGAATGCAAAGATTATTGTAATTTTGTGTAATACATTTTTAAAGCGGGCATGAAATTATTTCTCCATTCAGAGTCTCTATTGTTAAGGAATCGTTCTGAGTGAGTGTATATGACTCACAACTTAACGATAAAAACATAATGTTTAGTTGCTAACACTAGATGCTACTAGTCATAAGATTTTTCTATGTGATGAAAAAGAGAAAATAGAGAATTGTTAATACTTAGCATAAGTTTCATATGTTTCTGTTTGGTCGAATATGGGTTAAATACATAAGCAATCTTATCATACAAATCTTATCACAAACAATACAAGTTGAAGCGCATAGTGAGTGCTTCTTGTTTGTATAAAATTAACGAAAGTCTCGCGTAACAAAGTATTTTTTTACTTTGTAATACATGTTCGCCTTTCGATCGATTTTCCAATAAATTAGGTGCGATATTTTCTAATTACGCAGCAAATAAGGATCAATCAAATCAGGTCATTTTTTTTTCTCAAGTGAATTATACTTTGGTTGCACTAGTTTTTTTATCAAACAAAAAAAACAAGCTTAGATTGACTATTAGACTGTTAATGATACAATGACACTTTTGATCGCTCAATTTTATCACCATCAAAGATTTCATTTCGAAATTAATAAAATGTAGCAAAATGTTGTATTAAATTTTAATACAAAGAGATTCGAAAAAAAAATAATATTTTTTTCTAAATACGTCACTTGAAGAGATGTAATTAATTCGTTTGAAAAAAATTTGTTGTTAGCATTTAGGTCATTTGATACAGCATTGAATACTGTATTCTTTCAATGATACAATATTCAGTGATGGCAGTACATTTTAATGCTCTTTTTTTATATCCACTTCTATGCGTTATAATATTATGGTGACTTGAAAAATTCCCTGGTTTCGTTGCATTTAACTGCCTTGGATTTAGCCTCAATGTGATTACTGTATCCATTACCTAATGAAAATTCATAGAAAAAATACTTTTTATTAGAAACAAGTACATCATAGAAGAAAAAACGGGATAAATTGATCAATTGATAGTTCCATTTCAGATAAAATATTTACCCTTTTCAGCAACCGGTTCATCTATATGTGACATTGCATATGTAACCAAAAATAATATGAATGTGAACAACATAATTATAAGTATTACGGCGACGACACGCCAAACCACACCCCGTGTCATGATCAACTGCGCTGAAAATGAGCGACCGATTAAAACTGAAACTGAATCAAAATAAACAGCTACAAGTTTTCAAATATGATATGTACGATATATTTTGTGACTATGATTCAATTTTCTCCAAAATTTTGGATAATAACAAAAAAAAAATAAGTCCAAACCGATTACAACTGTAAATGAATCATGTAGCGACCAACTGAAATTTATGACTGAATTTATGGCATCGTATTCGTCAGATAGGGGATTTCATTGCATTCTGAATAAAATACATTTACTCAATATAAATCATAAACGCACTTCAATAGCATTTACTCAATACATGGGCTACATTGCATACATGCATTCGAACAATAAAAGTGCAAACAAAATGGCATAGTATGATAAATAAATCGAACTAAAATAAATTGGCTAATCAAACTAAACAAATAAATCCACATAGAATGTGTTTTCTAAAAGATATCTTGCTCCAGTGGGCCAAGCGATTTATTGTTTCTTATTTAAACTCTTACTTTTCTTGAAAATAGATTATGGACTAAGATATTAATGTGGTTAAAAGTTCTAATTGTATCGATGATGATCGTTGTACGATTATAGAGCACATAACGTGAATATGTGACTTCATCTTAAACAATCGTCGATTTATTTTTACCAATCGTCAGTTTCTGGGCTGATAACGCTGAAATTGCATCGCTCCAAAATGTAAACAACCAAATTTTGTGTGTACATGTCAGTTCGGTCAAAAAAAGGAGTTTCGTCGGAATTCATAACATTACATTCTTTGTTCGGTTGGTAGCATATGTGAAACCATGGATTTGGGCGAACGAGGCTTATATATGTGTTAATTACGTGCGAGTTGTATCTTATCTCTGTCGATATCTTATCGTTTATGTACTTATTTATGTGCCGTATCGAAGCGTAAAGTGTTTCTTTGGTGCGATAAGTCGCTCGCCGTTATTTTCAGCTTGGTGATCTGTTTTACGCTAGAAATTCCAATAATTGACTCATCGCAGACATTTTGGTGTGTACATTAGCTCGTTTCGTTTTCATCCAGACTTTTCCTCGAATTACAAAGGAAAAAAGTTGAATAATTGGCCATTCCAAGTGAATTTGAGAAAAAATCAATTAAAATTGGATAATATGTTGCAAAAGATTCTATCGTTTCGATCATTCACTTAGAAAAGAAAAATACAAGGGCAAATGGGCGTTTCCAGTTCTAATTCGTTGACCATTTCATGGATAGTTTTTGTTCTGACTGCGTTTGGAATACATAATTCAATTGGAATTGAATTATGTACGGAAAAAATCCGTCAAGTGTGCGATTGCTTCTATTATCCAGTATTTTCAGTACGATGTTCACACAAAAGTTTAAGCGAATATCCCGATTTCAACACAATTCAGGTGAATTTAATTGTGGTGTTTTCGTTTTATTTCAAGTTCTAAAGATGTGAAGTGAAAATAAAGGTGAAATGGAAAAAAAGAGAGAAGAAAAGTCAAAACTTCGACGGAAATTCCATTTTTCGCTACATAATATTCGCAGTGTATTTTTAATCTAGGGGTTTCACGCAAACTCGAAGGCCGAAGATTTTACTAAATAGCTGGAAATAAAACCATTTTATGTGTAAACTATAGATATTGCTTCTTTTTATTCATTAACTCGAATTTTTTGAATCTAAAAATTCTGGAAGTGGGTTTTGGTGGATCCTCAGGATTGTTCAAAACCGCTCCTGGTTCTGGAAGTGGATCCTCAGGATGGACCAGGGCATTGTCAAACCCAGTCTGATCCATCCTGAAGATCCACCAAAACCCACTTCCAGAACCGGGAGCAGTTTTGAACGATCCTGGGGATCCACCAAAACCCACTTCCAGAACATAATTTTCAAGGTGAATGTTGAAATATTTCGAAATAATACGGATTTTGGTGAATCCCAGAGAATTTTAGAGAAAAGAGAGAAATATTGAAATTTTAGATGAATTTTAAGTTGCGTGAAACCCCTAGTTTTTAATAAGTGGACAAATTTCAATGTTTTGTTTTCAAAGCGATATTTCGTTTCATTTTGGCTGTAAATTTGTTTCTGATAAGGAGAACAATAATAAACCCGAAACGACGTAAATTTGATTGTCGAAATTTTGTGTATTCAACTCAAAAACGATTTTTCTCATTCATACTCGCTGAATCGATCACAATTCGATTGATGCAAACGAAATTCACTGTTTAAAACTTTTTTCAGACTTTTTCAAATGCAAATCTTCATTTTTCTTTTCAGAATGTGGTTGAAAAGTTGGATGTATCATACAATGACCTAACCAAATTCCCGCCAAGGCTTCTGAACTTTTTTGCATTGGAAATACTTGACGTATCGCACAATCGAATCGACTTCATATCGCACGATGTGATACTCCCGAATAATTTGCGTCACTTGATATTGTCGTACAACAATATCAGTGATTGGCTCAGTCTGAGTCCGAATTCACTTCTGGAGTCGGCCCCTAATTTAGAAACTTTAAATTTAGCTGGAAACCCTTTGGGCGCGTTCAACGACAAGGATGACCGATTACTGTTGATAAGCAGTAGTTTGAAAAAACTTGACTTGAGCGATTGTCAAATTCATAAAATCAGTGGTTCGCTTATGTTGACTGGTCTGGTGAATTTAGGCCATTTGTCACTAAATTCGAATCCATTGTACCAAATCGGCCAAAGTGATTTGCAAGCCAATAAATTAGTGCATTTGGATGTGAGCAATTGTAAACTGGGAATACTGCGACCAACGGTTTTTTCACAAATGCCAGCATTGAACTTTGTAAATTTTAGCGGAAACAGCCGGTTATCTTTGGTTCATCGAGACGGAGAATACGTTGAATCGGTATCATTGAGACAAATCGATTTGTCAAAATGCAATTTGAATGCCGTTGAATTGAAAGGCTTTCCAAATCTCACTTCAGCCAATTTTCATGGGAATTTGATCACAGAACTGTTCGATAACACATTCCAGAACAATATTTTAATTGAAAATTTGGATTTTTCATCGAATTCAATCAACCGCATTTCCGTCATGGCATTTCAATGGCTAAAACGTTTACGAAGTGTTGACTTATCACTAAATATGATTCGGAAAATTGAAGCGGAAACATTTGAACAAAATCAACAATTAACAGCCATAAATTTAAGTCGAAATTTTTTCGATCGTTTTCGACGATTCATAAGCCAGAGTTTAACATTTTTGAACATGAGTCGCTGTGAAATTACTAAAATCGATGACGATGCTCTAGATGATCTTCTTGAATTAATTGAATTGGATTTGTCTTACAATTGGTTCAGCGAATTGCCGCAGAAATTTGGAGCACCCTTTCTACAGATTTTGGATCTAAGTCGATGCAGGTGAGCTCAATTCAAGAACAAAGTAATTTTATTCTTTTTTGTAGGTAGTAAAGGTAATTTTCAATATCATTCAGGGACTGTAATGCTCTAACCGCGAAAATCTATCTAGTTGAATTGACTGTATTAATAACACGTTCAGTTGAATGTAAATGATGTTCATCTTAAAAACACTTCTCATTTCAGACTATCACATATAGAAAACTGCACCTTTGCTAATTTTCCAGAGCTGTCGCGCTTAAATTTAGCTGGAAATCGTCTCACAACCACTTTTCGAAAGCAGTATTTCGCGAGCAATAACTATTTGAACGAAATTTGGCTCGGAGATAATCCGTGGCGTTGCGAATGTGATAAGAAAAGCCATGAATTTTATAAATACATCACCGACCGTCCACCACGGGTAATTCCAGTTTTTTAAATCAATTCTGTTGTCTTCACAACTTGGTTAAGAAGTTGATCTAGACAAAAGGGATAATTTTTTTGAACTAAATTTTATGTTACAGCTAAAAGATCCTTCACAATTACGATGCTATTCGCCGGGCGATTCATACGGTGTTTTTTGGGAGATGGCCTGTTTCAATTATTGGGTCGAGACACCTCGACGAACGAGTGCGTTCGAGAGAGCTTGGACAATGTTAATGGCCATCGTCATCGTTGTATCAATGATATATTCAGCGATATACGGATTGCGATGGTGGGCTCAGCGTCGTAAAGAAGCTCGTGAGGAACGACAACGACAAGAGAATTTGGAAACAACAAGAGAACTGTAAGTGGTCGCATATTCGATAAATGCCATTTTGAGAACCTAAAACAAAAAAAGAATTTTGAAAGCGAACAATGGAGAAAAAACGAATTTATTAAGAAGTTGTTCGATTTGCTTTCAGAACGCGCCACAATCAAATGGTGCTTGAGCAAGAGGGACAATTGAATGCACCAGATCCTCGTGAAACACATCCACCATGTTATGCTGATGCGATAAAAATGCCACGGCCTCTGTCTTCACTCACTTCACTGAAACAAGCGAATTGCTCAAGTAATGATTCAGTAAACTCCATTCGTCGTGCCACGAAACGTTGTCGAAGTGATGGCCTTCTGAGTGTAAATGGAACCAGTAAAAATCAACGTGTCATTTTGGCAGTTCGGCCACAAAACTGGATTCTCAATTCAGGTGGATCATCGGCGACCACAACAGGTTTAGTAAAGGATAATTCAGCATTGGCCACTGGTTCGAGTCAAAAGAGCTTTGAAATAATCAATCAACTTGAAACAAAAGACGGACACAGTCCATACGCTAAAAGAAAGTCTCATTTAAATAGTGAAACTGTCACACAAATTCATTCAAGCTGTGAGTCCTTGAATGAGCCCATCTACGCAAATGGAGACATTGTCGCTGCCCACAGTTGTTACCGTAGTGAAATTAGTCTAACCGAGAGTGAAATACCTCAAACGTCGCATTCATTCTACGCATCGAACGAAGCATCGTATTCAACATCATCTACTTCCTCATTCGATTCAGACGAGTACTACTTGGGATTGTATCATCATGAAGAGCGCACATCCAAACAGTCGGAAGTTTAAACAAAATTTAAAATTGGGAAATGACAATTGACAATTGAAACATAGCATAAGATGTAAGAATATTTTTATGAGATTTTTTTTTAGATATAATTTAAAATAAAGTTGAAATGATAGAACTCGTTTATGGACACGAAAAACAGTTTGAATAATTTCTATCTATGATTCACCTGGCTCTGGACGAATTTCAATGATTTCATTGGATTCAAGCGTTGGTGGCGATGGTGCTTGAATATCGGGTGCACGCAATAGGGCTATATAATCTGTCTTTCCACCTTCGTACCTCTGCACATTTGCCTTTAAATATGGTTCGTTTAATGAGACGTAATGCTGTGCAACATTGGTATTCAAGAGCTTAGAAAGGCTTTTTTCAAGTTCATCGAACAATGGACGCGACTCAGGAGCCAACCTCCAGCATGATAAAATAATGTCATATCTATAAAAAGCGAAATTTTAATGATCTGTATCATGAGCATGTTCAAAATTATTTGTTTCTTACACGTCTTGCGTGGCGAAATCCGGTTTTTCCATTCTATAACCGTCCAGTAATTTTTGATACAATTCTTGGCATGAATTCAGGCCCGGGTATGGCGTCGTTCCAAGCGAAAACAGCTCATAGAGAACAATTCCGAAAGCCCAAACGTCAGTGTAAATACTAAATACGAGATCCCTTATAGATTCGAGAGCCAACCATTTAAACGGGAGTAGTGACTAAAAACCATGGAAAAAAACTTGTACAATTTATGTGCGAAATATGTTTAAACTCGAGTCCATTTACCTCTGCACTCTTCTTATAAACATCAGTTTTGTACAAAGAACGAGCCAAACCGAAATCGCAGATTTTTATCACATTATTGTCGCACAAAAGAATATTTCTTGCTGCTAAGTCACCATGCAACACTTTGCGTGATGTCAAATATTGCATTCCACGTGTTATTTGAAAGGACCAGCAAAGTAAATCGGACGTTGTAATTTCGTGCATCGATTCAGAGTCAGTTGACTGGGTGGATGTGCCTGAATGAATGGAAAGTACAAAACTATTGTGAAGACTTAGATCAAATGTGCAATTGCATGAAGTTTCACCTGCTGAGCGATTCACATTATCCAAACCTTGAAAATACAGTGGATTGGCAATCGATTGTTGACTCGTCTGACAACTGCAAATGAATTATTCTTATATGTAATATTCTAATTTTAAATGGAATTACCGATGGTGGTTGATAAATCCACTGTTTTTTACGTACTTTTTTCTTGCATTTATGTTTGAAATAACTGTATCAGTACTACGATCAATCTGATCAACGAATGATGAACGATTTTTAATCAAGATACTTTGCAGGTTGCCAAATCTACAGTATTCAACTATGATCATCATATTGTCTGAAATGAGAAGCAACATTGAGATTTATTTCGAAGGAACTGTGATGAATTATGTGCATTTTCTATTCTATTCACATCGTGTAATGTTGCTGGTGACTGCTCCAAGTAAGTTGACTAAATTCAAATGTTGGCCCAAATGTACCATTATCTTCAACTCCAAAACTAGAGCGCGCAGTATCTGTTCATCAATAAATGAAATATCTTATTATATACAGACATAGTAATGACTGAGCACACCAGCACCACACAACATTGTGGTTTTAATCGATATCAGCACAATTCGGGTGATGAATTCGATGTATACCATATTGTATGGTGCTTTAGTATCCAGTCAAATATTATGTCTTCAATATCCTCGAATTGACCGTAGTTTACAGACCATTTCTCCCTCTGGGCCGCTCAGACTAGGCGCGGGAGACATAACGTTCCAATAAGTTCGCACGACTTACAGACAAACAATGTTCATTGACCACGAAGTTGTCTACTTACCTCGTCGTTTGACATTCTTTTGACCATTTTAACTGCGACTTTTGTCTTCTCCTCATATGGTAAAATACCATATGCAAACGCTTCATAGACAACACCAAAAGCACCACCACCAAGCTGTGTTCCAAGCTTGACCTTTTCACGCGGAAATTCATAACTTTTGTCGTAGGGCAAAAGTTCGGCCTGTTCATCTAGCGTTAGGTTTGCGTTTATGCCTTCTGCATTTCCTTGCTCAAAGCATTCCAATTCGATTGCATTTAGTTTATGTATTACTTGGCTTTTACGTTTCATTTGCACGCAAGAATAAGTGGAAAAAATTGCAAAAACTAACATCAATGCCACAACACCAACGATAATAAAAACCAGTTCATTACTGTCTTTGCCTTTGGCATTGTCTTCAGGATTCTTAGCGCCGTGTTTGATAAGGATTTCAGAGATTCCTATTTGATCTGGATTGCGAATGAATGAAAATCAAAATATTTGCATTCTAATTTGAGAATTTGGGCGATTACCATTGCTTTTCGCCGTCTGCAGTGGCGTCAATCCATCTTTGTTCTTCGCATTGACCTTGGCATGGTGTTTGATAAGTAATTCAATGACACTCGTATTATCTGAATTGTTAATTAGCCAAAATACAAAGTTCGTTCTAGTTTTAAAGTCACATTTTGGGTAATTACTATTTTTGGCAGCGCCATGGAGTGGTGTGTCACCATTATTGTCTGTAGCATTGACCTCAGCACCATTTTTAAAGAGAATTTCCATGATTCCCGTATAACCTGGAATGTTATTGAATCAAAGAATTGTCTATGTTTGAAAACGAACGTTCAGGCAATTACCATATTTTGCCGCAAAGTGTAGCGCCGTCGATCCTTCATTGTTTTTGGCATTGGAATGAGCACCGTGTTTGAGGAGAATTTTAACAATGGACACTTTGCCTGTGATGCACATAGATGAATATTTAAATGTTGCTTGTGTTTGAACTTGCAAATTCGTTAGTTCCACAATATTGAAAAACAAATATGTATATAAATGTATTCGGAATTTTCGAACTGAACATTCTAATCATTGACTATTTTGAAGTCGAAAGAAGTCTCCTCTTTCATAACAAATTCAGTGGAACACTCTCTAAGTGATCTGATGTTACTTGGTTCGTTGAAACAATACTAGCGATTGATGAGCTTTATAAGATATGAAGGTGACAATAAAAATTTCAAACACATTTTTCTTCTGAATTTCGAAAAAATTGTTTTGGGTACGTTTCGAACTGTTTTCTGACAAAACAGTTTTTTAAACGAACATTTGTTTGAAATATTTTTTGGCTTCTTATGTATTGCAAATGTAAAAAAAAAAACTGAATGAACGAACGAACAAAATATTTTTCAATAATAACGAACGAAAGACCAAAGGTTCGAAGCCAACACTAAACACGTTCTATTTACCTTTTGTAGTAGCTATATGAAGTGGTGTATTTCCTTCCACAGATGTAGCGCCGATATCGGCACCATTTTTGATAAGGAGTTCAGCGACGTTCATATAACCTAGAATGTGAATGATAAATTAGAGGATTTTCCTTGTTTGATCGCAAATTTCCAGACATTCACCATTCAGTACAGCGAGGTGAAGTGGTGTGAAGTTATTATTTTTTCTAGCGTTGACGTTGGCGTCGTGTTTGATGAGGATTTCAGTGATATTTGCATAACCTGCGATATGGAATAATCAAAATCAAAAGTTTATTTGCGTTTTAGAGCATATATATGTGCTGGGCTGGTTTCGAGTTTCGCCCACTACAGATAATATTCAGCAGTTTTCTACCATACTCTGTTTTATTGTTTCACTATCAACACTAATGCCCTCGTTTGAGAGACTCTAACAGGCATGGACATGCACGTATATGTTGCATACACAGCTCCGCGTATGAGTTGGAGCGCGGTGCTTACAGTGTGTCGCATGTACAAGAACGTAATAAACACCCGCTGTTGACGGTCACTGTTCAACATAAGCGCTACATAGCAAGCAGATTCAATGCTCTGCCTTTCTTTGTCATAAAGGCGTCATTAGACGATAAAATAAATGAAAATTGACCGATTTGTGTGCTCTCACCAAACATGTTAAAAAACGGTTCCATATATGGAATTCCATTTATAGAACCATATCGCTTCGAATGGTTTAATCAAAATCAAAATTTTCGATACGTGTAAAAAATGAATACAGACTCCTCCCGAAAAATTCCAACCGTGTGGTTAAAAAAATGGAGTTAGAACAATTACCATGTTTTGCAGCGAAATGAAGTGGTGTCCATTCATTAACTTGTGTAGCATTGACATCTGCACCGTATTCGATGAGAATTTTCACAATATCTAGTTCGTCTGCGTTGGAAATGGATGAAGAGCTAAATTGCATGTGTTCGAAAGCAAGAATTTAATAATTACCATTTCTAGCAGCAAAGTGGAGTGGTGTCCATTTATTGACTTCTTTCGCATCAACATCAGCACCATGTTCTAGGAGGTATTTAGCGACATTTGCATGCCCT